TTCGAAATGAAGATTCAAATACTTAGGTGATTTTTGTAGTATTTTCGATACAATTCAAATTAGAATATATATATATATATATATATATATATATATATATATATATATATATATATATATATATATATATATATATAAATAACTTCTGTTCATAAAAGAAATGAAAAATGTCAATTGATCCTTAGGAGCCAACTAATTATATTGATTTGTTTCAACCCAAGACATAGACTGAGACAAAATTAATCTTTCTAAAAAGAAATTTTCTAAAGAAAAAAAAAGATATCTCCATATTAGTCATAAGGTGACATGAAACTTAAATAATATCGATTGGACTAAACTAGATTAATAATTTTCATGCTTAAATTGTATAAAGAATTTTACTCATCTAAAATTGATGGTATATATGTTTAGCAATAGGCTAGGTCTGTTCATAAGCCTCTTGAAATATGAAGTATATTTATTTTTATGCTAAAAAAAATAAATCAATGACTGAAAAATGAGAACAAAATTAGAAAATTGTATTGAGGAAATGAGGAAATAGATGAATATCACAAGAATTTGCTATATAATTTAGTAAATGGACAAATAAAACAGCATATGTTGGGCATTTGATAGAGATTAGGCCTTAACTTAAAAGCTTTGGCACATCTTGGTGATGGCAACACCATCACTTCACAAGCATCTAATCATAAATGCATAAATCAATGGAAAGACAGTAATTGGTTGACCACTCTACTTCACATTAAACCCACACCAGAAATTGCATGTCATCATTGACACACAATATGCTGGATTAGGTGATGTTGAAGCTTTTGGGAGGTAGAAGAATTGAGTTCTCATTGATGACACTTGGGACCAAACAAAGAGGTTCAATTAAAGCCCTCATTACTCTTTGTAGTGTACTATACATTAATCTACTTGCCAGAACTTAAATGTGCTAACTTGGGACCATGCACAGTATTGAAGATTAAGCAAAATTAACATGAGGATGTCATGAAGGAGAATTAAATCTTTCTTACTTGACCAAGTATATTGCTGGAATAATCAACAACATGAATTCAAATCTCAGTCAGTAGCATAGCATTCAGCTGTCACTCTGCATGGAGAAAGAGTGAACAGGGTGAGAAGCAGCTTACTCTATCCAATCATATGTTTTGTTCATTAATCAGGCTAAGCAACTCCAATCATTGTTGTGATGGAGGAGGTGACAACTGATCTAATCAGCAGAAATTGTTGGGTTCTGGAAGTGCTATTTTCTAGATCCAAATTCTCCTGCTTCCCTTTTTTCTCATGCACCACTATCTGTGGCATTTCAAGGGGCACAAGATCATAACACACCACATGTGGCAAGTAGCATGAGGAGGAGGGCATCACATGCCAATGGACTACAAAGTGAACAACCAAAAGTAACCATCACATGCTACAAACAGAAGATCAACTAAATTCTGTAACAAAAAAATAACTGGAGGAATTTATGCATCTTATGACTGTAACTCCCCCAGATGGAGCAAATCAAAAGTTTTTCTGAGGCTGGTAAGTTAGAACTTAACCACAACTGTATTCAGGTAATCAGGATACTGAAGATTTGCCAACAATGTCCATGAATGCAGGAACAGGAGAGTGATCAACTGATGAGGTCATTTTTGGTTTAGCTCAGTGGTCAGTTTCTTTGTCTGTGCAGCTAAATAGAAGCATGAAAATAGTTGTCATCCTATCCCCAAAAAAAGTAGCAAGCAGAACATGGTGTGCTTCGCAAGAAAAGCAGAGAGAAGTCATGGTCCCAATCTGAGTCCAAGCATGAAAGCTTCAAGACAGCACATGACATGTAGGAAGCATGGCCTGCCACAATGCAACAAGCAATGAACAATCCTTTTAACTAACTACCAAAACCCCTCTTTATTCCCCTTTTCTTACCCTTCTTTCTCAACTTTGCTTCTGATAGACAACAGACATGGGAAAACTTTATGTTCCATGAGATAAGGAAATCACTAAACTCCAAGCTGTGCCCATAAAGAATGTACAATGAGTCAAACATCAAAACTGGAAAGGAAAATTTAAAGAAAAAAGCTTGGAGTGTGAAGCCTACAGGTGCACCTGTGACCACCACAATCATAATTAAAGGGCAAAAGGAGCTATCACTCAGAAGATATGATCATTCACCACCCTCCTTGAATGAAGATAGAGCTAATCAGATGTCACACTCTACCTTACCAATATTTGTCATAGAACAATATGAAACTTTATTGCCAATTATTGGCGCAATGAGAAGTATGGTCCTGAATGCACTAACATAAGCAGAAAAAACACTTGGACTGAAAATTGAAGCACACGGCACATATGAATAGCTTTACCGACATATTTACTGCTTTAATAGCTAGCTAGCATTTTACTTACCTATTTGTGATGGAACACATCAATTGTATGTGAACGAAATAGAACACTTGCTTCATGCAACAGAGATGTTTTGTAAAAACCTGTATCAGTCACCATAATTAATAAAAATTTATGATAAAAATAAGCCATGCCCCCTTGGGTAACACCAATGATTGATAATCCCAAACCAAATCATAATAGACTTGCAGGATGGACAGATAAGGGGAACAGAAAAGAGCGACAACATAACTAGAACAAAATCCTGATGAACTACATTAGTCACCTTAATTATTCACCTAAATCAATCTTCCTACAAAATGTCTAGTTCTACATGCTTCTCATAGCTGATAGTTTAGATTAATAATTTGATAAAAATCCTTCATCCCTATTCTATCTGGTAGTCAATGCATAAACAAAATACATTGCAAAACAAATTCCTTCAGGTGCAATATGATCACACTCTGGACCTGGGATAGAAAAAAGCTTAATCAAAACATCAGCTGTATCAGATGCCTGTCATGTTAATGTTGTAATGCAAAATCTGCCCAACTTGTGTCAGATAAATCCAACGTACAAGCCTTTTTGAGTCCACAATTTTTTTCTTTTCCAAATCACTACAGTTCAATCAAGTCTGCTTGAATTATTGTCCCTCTGCTTTTGGGCTATGGATCAACATCCACCACTTATAATTGAGCTCTGATAATTTTAATTTGGACAGTCAGATGTTACATCGATATGAAGATCCCAATCAACTTGAGATATATGGGACATAAGATAAAGCAGCGCTAACAAATGCATCAACACACAATGTGGAGATTGTGGTAGGGGTGCAAAAATAAAATGGTTAAGATGCTCGAATCCTTGGCTCTACAAAAGTCTTAATCCCTTCAATTATTTTTATGCAAATCCTACTTATCAAATTCATTGCCACCATCCCCTATCTTGGACAACAAAGCACCTCTCTTCCATAGAGAAAGTTTGTCGAACACCCCCCATCTTATACGGGCTGCATATTTTCAAGTAATCTTATGAGACCTTGTGACCTATGTTGCAGGATGAGAAGCACAACAAGCATCCAATGGCCCAAGAGACATTTGGGTAAATCAGCAAGTCTGCTATATTTCAGACAGATTAAGACCAATATGTTTCATTCTAACACAAGATTGACACATCAATGGCACATTGGACTTCAAAAAGGCAAGAGGAAACTTTATCTATTTAAAATTTGAGCACATAGTGGAATCCAACAATAAGCACAAGAAAGAAAAACATGAAATACTGCTACTCATTAGAGAACCATATTATCTGACACAAAGCATTCAGCCATTCACAGCTCTGTGCTCATAGATACATAGGCTCACAAACATGATGGGAAATATACTGCAATCGGAAACATACTCTTTTAGTGAAGCATAAATCATAAAAGAAGTCACTTAATAAGTACTATCAAAGCAAGTTATAAGGTAGCTGGTATCCATATGTACCCATGAGTTTGCACATATCCCACTTTGGCAAGTAACTCATCTGCCTCTGCTGGACCACGGCTGCCTGGTTTATACATAATAGGCCTCAGTTTCCCCTCTTCAATACTGTTTAAAAGAGGAGTGAATATCTCCCATGCCACCTATAAACCCAAGCAATACAGTAAAAACCAAACCATAGTTTTTTTTTAATGTTGATTAATTATGCATGTAGATACCCTCAGTTCATCTCTGCGCACAAAATGTTGTTGGTCACCCCTTATTCTGTCAAAATGAATATTCAACAAGTTAGGTGATGCAGAACAGACCCACTCCCGAGCAGATAAAAAATTTCAACAAGAAATATAGAAAATTATGGATTTCTAAATGCAATGAGAAATCAATTTTAGGACTATGATAACAGATAGCGAAGGGAAAATAGGTGACCAGGAAATCACAAATTCAAATTAACAAGAAAAAAAAACAAATAAACGCCAAGATCAGGCTAAATTTTGAGACTTAATAAAAGCTGCAGTATATAGATGAATTCCCTAAACATGAGAAATTCATAGTTCATATGCAAACATATATTATTGGTTGGTTGAGCATATCAATTCAGACATCATACGCTGGAAACATCAAACATTCTCGGTAGTCATAGAGATTGGCATTTGAACTTCCTAGGACATGTTTTAGAGCCAAGAAATAAAATCATCTCTGTAATCCTGGTCAATTTTGGAATCCTATGCCTCCATTAAGTTTCTCAGTGACATTTCAAAACTATAGCAGATGGTCATTGTAGTTTCCAGACTATCTATCATGTTTAATATGTGGCAAGCTATAAAGATACGGATAGTGAATATAGTCCGAGTCTGTATAAAAAGTAGCCAATACTAGTTAATAGAAGTTACTGAACATACGTGTCCAAGATTAATCGCTCATATGCCTCTGGGATGTTGGCATCTTGATACCTCAACCCATAAGATAAATCTAGTTCACTCTGTATGGTTGACATTTCCAGTCCAGGTTTCTTGACCTGTGGAAGAAGATAAAGAAATTACAAGCTAAATCGTTATAGCGTGGACATACAATAGCAAAAAAACATTTTAGTGGTTCCAAAAGCAGGAGATAAGTCATAATAGTCCTAACATGATATCCAACATTCTGATGATAATCACTGGAATATGATATAATTCCCTATCTACCATGCAATGGTCTCAAAGGATGGAATCTTTATCGTAAATGACCGTATGGTATATTTATTGAACTTCTTACAGTCAACCAACAGGGTGAATGCAGCCAGACAGGCACAAAGGCTGGAGTCTGATGTCTAACAACTCTTGAAATAATATAACAAGAGACCAAAAAGTTGCCTATGACTAAAATGCACATTCCATTAGATGGTATACACACTACAAGACTGATGATGACATGATATCATACCCTCTCTGACAGTTCTAAGCAATGAATAACTTACTGTTAGTTTCATATACATGGCTTCTGACGGTTGCAGGCGAATGACAAATTCATTTCTCCCGTGCCTTTTACCTTATCACATTTAGTAAGAAAACATTGAAATAAGTTTCTGTAAGTAGATAATGGAAAGGAAATTACGAAATGGACAAGAAACGAAGTTATGGTAGAACCATAGAAGCATCAACATTATTATGTTTATTTAATTTATAATTTCCCAGAAACCGTCTAAAGTGAACTGCTATCCAAGATCCATGACATTGTTCATCATTATGGGTAGGACAAGACTGACCAAAAGAAAACTTTTAAAAGAGAATGTTGACAAATAAATAAAGAGTCTAACTGAAATTTTAAAAGCCATACTTTCAAAGATATCCCCAGGAACATCTTTAAATTGAATACGAATTTCTGCTTTTCTAGAATTTAAAGCTTTTCCGGCCTTGAGAATAAAAGGGACACCTGCATTGCATGATTTAAAAGTGTTAGTGAAATTCATAAAAGCACAATAAAAATGGCAGTTCAAAAGTTGTTTTGCCACATATCATCATGGCAAAGATAGTCATCTCATAGAATGAGAACATGTTGATATTTTTCTAGCACAACATGATATCATGATGTGCCAGTTGACATGTTCCTAATGCCAGCTAGCACAGGCCAAAATCATGCCACTGTCAATATCTATGACACAAGTTGGCTGATCAACATGACAATCCTTTCTCTATTGTTCTATGTATTGCAGCAAGGAGAGATGACCAATAAAAAGGAATAAAAATATGTGCACATTGAGTATTATAATTGACAGGTCTACCAAAAGGAAAACTAAACCTTCCCATCTTTCATTGTATATGTGAAAAACAATAGTTGCAAATGTTGGGGTGTTTGAGCTGTCAGAAACTGTTGGGTCATCTTTGTAGCCTTCATATTGTCCAAGTACGACCTCTTCAAGTTTTATTGGTATCACTGATTGAAGAACCTGATAGCAACACAAAAAGTAAGAAAAAGGTACCATACTCATGTGACAAAGTTTGGATAGATGAGGCGAAAAAAAAAACATCATAATTTATACATTGTACTACAGAGTGGGATGGCTAAGAATGATCATGTTCAAGAAATGCTATAAAATGAAGACAAAGCTTTCTCCACCAAAGAAAATCAGTTATGACCTTCACTTTCTCATCCCGAATGTGCTCAGGATAAAGTGAAACGGGTTTCTCCATGGCAACCAAACAAAGTACCTGCATCAGTACATAAGAACTTATTTAACAATTATTATATATTCAATGAAATAAAAAACCTTATACCAAACAGTTTGTTAGATTAAACAATCAACTATCTCTAATTTTCCAATTTCCATTACCTGAAGCAAATGATTTTGAATGATATCACGAATGATTCTGCAAAATAATGAATGAAGTTAGCTTTATTTTTTAATTAATCTACCAAATAGTGTTACCGAATATTATTCGCCACAAATTTACAAGTATGATAGTTCATGACCAATAGTTTCAGAAGAAAACAAGAGACAGATAAACAAGATATTGACCCCATTTTTTTTCAGCAGTAGCAGCTATTTGCATTGCAAATAATGGACTCCTTGGAAGTTAAAAGTGTGGCCCCCAACAATCTTAACAATTTACAGAGAAATTTTCTATACTTCAAAATTTCAAATCATTTTAGGGAAAAAGGTTGGAGGTTGGAATTGGAGCCCCACTTCAATAAACAAATAACTGCTAAGAACTCCAAGGCATAATCTCACTTAAAAACATGCAAAATTATCTCTGGAGTTTTCCTGTCACCATAAACATGTGTCTTCACTCAACAACAATCTCGGCAATGCTAAAGTTAACAAAAGTGTTCCCAATGCCAAGAGAAAGATTTGGTTCTTAGTTTAGAGGATATGTTTCCTTCAAATTTGCAAAATATATATAATGGACATACCCGTATTCATCAAAATATCCTCCCCGTCCTTCAGTTCCAAAGTCCTCTCTGAACACAATCTGTAGAATCACAGATAGACTTGTAAATGAGAATATTGTAGATTACA